ATCTTTAAAACCTCCAATTTTCTTGAACAGATCTCTGGTTTTTCCCTCTCTACTATTTTCCTCTATATCTTTGTACTGTTCATTTAAGGAGGCCCCTTAAATCTGTTCTTCACTTCCAATGTGCATTCATTAGCGATTTGGTTTAGATTATACCTGACTAGCCCAGTGGTTTTTCCTACTTTCTTCAGTTTAAGCTTGTATTTTGCTATAAGAAGCTGAAGGTCTTGTTTTTGCTGACTGTATAGAGCTTCTCCATCTTCGGCTGCAGAGAACATAATCAATCTGATTTCGATATTGCCCATCTGCTGTAGTGTAGCCACCTCTTGTGTTGTTGGAAAAGAGTGCTTGTGGTGACCAGCTTGTTCTCTTGACAAAACTCTATTAGCCTTTGCCCTGCTTCGTTTTAAACACCAGTAACTGTTCCTTTTATCTCTTGACTCCCTACTTTAGCATTCCAGTTCCCTATAAAGAGAACATCTTTTTTTTAGTGTTAGTTCTAGAAGGTGTTGTAAGTCTTCACAGAATTGGTCAATTTCAGCCTTTTCAGCATCAGTGGCTGGTGCATAAACTTGGATTGCTATGATGTTGAAAGGTCTGCTTTGGAGACACTGATACTTCCTGTGAAAAAGCATTTCTCTTCTCTACAGAGCTATTACATATTTCAGGCCTTATTTCCTACTTCAAAAACAGATGAGAAATTTGCAGATTGCTTTTTATCTTGATACATATTAATTAATACCCATCACAATTACCTTATAATATAACTACATTTTTGTTTCTACATGAAACAGCATGAACACATCATAAACAATACATTCTCCAATGATTTGTTACTGTCAGATTTTCTAAAATTGCATAGCGGATGAATGCCTTCTATATACGTATGTATTCCTAAATGTATACTTTTATGTTTATATCCACATGTTCAGTGTATGTGTAAAGCACGTTACTCTGCAAAGTATGTGGCACATATTGAAGCAGAATGAAGTCATCTCTTTCATAAAACTCAGACGTTCACTCATCCCTTCAGATGTCTTATAACATATTGTTCACTCTTATGTAATAAGAGTTAAGCTATTACATTTAGACATGATTTCAGTAAAAGACTCAAAAGTTCATGATTCTTTCAGACCTGACATATTTTTCATCTAATGCTGAAATCCTGTTTTTAGCATAGTAAGTCACAACTAGAGTAGCCCATTTGAATCAATACAACTTACAGAGGAGTTGGCTGAAGCTCCCACTGATTCAATGGGCAACTTATTTCAGCCAATATAGCACTAAATAATGAAACATATCATCCAACACATTAGTATTTGGTGCTGACTTTAATAACCACCATTTACTTATCTTCCTCAGCCATGGGTATTACCTATATGAATAAATTAGCTTCTTGCAAGCCTCACCTCCTCAATAGCAGCATCTTGTAGCAAAGAGCGAATGTCTAAACGTATCATATGACGGGGTGCCGTCTCCCAATGATCAGCCATCTGTAAACAGGAAATGGAATCTGAAGATACTTCCACAACATATAATTTGTTCAAAAATTTATGTCTTTCATCAGAAATCTGAGCTTTTCATGACTACATCTGGATCAGAATTATGGTGCATATGCATGAGAGATCCAACATAAGACTTTTTGAATATCTTATGAATGTTGATTGCTTAATTATTATGCCACTATAGATATCTCTACTACAGAGATACATGATAACTGGAGATACAAATGATGGGAGCTTACAAAGTATTTTAGCTGTGAAATGAATACAACAAGCATAGGCACATTCCTAATTCCCCTTTAATTCGCTCCTCTGAAAGCTTGCTTTTCCCTCAAATGATAATTAATTTTGCTAGCCCTGAAAGAACTAAACTTGGTGATCTTTAAACCTCCACATTTTAACACATTTACCTTACTGATTTCCTTGAGCTTGCGTCCATGGACATTCCTCTTGCAACAAGTCTGGTTGTCTGCAGTTATTTCAGCCAAGTAAACCTAGAACATAGAATGAAAAGACAATGTGCTCAAAAACACATGGCCCATGTCCTAATAGTGTTTTCCGGTGTAAGTTTGGAAACTGAGTAATAGTGCTGTACATGAATGAAGATGAAAAGAAAAAAATTAATACTGAAAGAAGGCAAGACCACTGTCTGGAACAACCGGACTTAAACCAATAATCTAGTGCCTTGAGTCACACATTCACTGAATTGAACAATTGGAAAATACTTTGACCCCTTGTCAATAAACAAAATTCACAGCTAAACAATCCCTGATATGTGGTCATTCAATCTCTGTTTCAGAACTTCCAATGAAGCAGAGTTCATTGCCTTACAAGGCAGTCTATTCCACTGCTGAACTGCTGTTAACATCAAGAAGCTCTTCTTAATGTCCAGTCAAATTATTCTTTGTATTTTTGAAAGCTTTCATGGCTGGGATCCAATGGTTGTTGTAGGTTTTTTTTGGGCTGTTTGGCTGTGTTCTTAAGGATTTTTCCTCCTAACATTACGGCAGTCTCTGTGGCCAGCATCTTCAAAATACAGCCTGCCAAAGGTCAATGAACTTTGCATATAAATGCAATAA